TGATGAGGTCTGTTTCTAAATCAATTTAAAGTTTTGTTTCAATTTTGTTTCAAGTTAATTTATTTAAACAAGGGACCAAGTTATGTGTGAGATTGAGAAATGTATTGATTTTTTTAATTATTATTATTTATTTATTCATTTGTTTGTTTTGTAGATCTGGGACATGCCTTACCTGGACAGACAAAATCGGACCTGTGGATTCCTGGATATTGAGGAAAATGAGAACAGTGATAAGTTTTATCGGCGTTATTTTATCTTGGATACTCATGAGAATTTTCTCCTCTGGTATATGGACAATCCACAGGTATAGCTCTTAGTGTGCATTCAAGTTGCAGTATGGCTTTACGGAGGATTCTCTTATTTACCTACACCCCAAACCTCAACTTTGCATTCTAAAAATTTCAATCCTGTATTTTTGCATAACTATTTTTACTTGTTTCCTTAAAAAAAACAGAACTTACCTCCGGGAACAAAGTTTGTTGGAAGTTTACGACTCCGTTACATTTCAAAGGTATCAAATTCTACCGTAATATAAAAAAAAATACAAGACTTCTTTTTATAATTACTTATTTCGCTTTTGATTGAACTTTTTTGTAGGTTAATGAAGCATCAGTAAAGCAGAAACCAAAAGCAGAATTCTGCTTTGGTAAGTACATAAAATGGGTGTTTTTGTTGTTGTTGTTGTTGTTTTTCTCCCCCACAGTATCTATAACTACTTTTTTTTTTGTCTTCCAGTAATAAATGCTTTGTCCAGACGGTACTTTATGCAGGCCAATGATGCTATGGACTTGAAGGAATGGGTCACTGCTCTGAATAATGCCACCAAAATTACAGTATGTGGAGCTTTTTGTATATGCACTGTTGTTATGTTTGGTGTTTTCTTTGTCATATCTCATCCATATGCTAATACAAATGACAAACCTGGACTTAATCCACAAATAAGCATTCTTAGTTAGAGCCTTTGCAACATCAGTTAGCAGATGAAAGATGAGATTATACTTTGATTAATGCAAAGTCATATACAGTTGTATCTGAATAAACTAATGAAACTTTATGCATATATTAATCAGTACATATCTTTTTAAGGTTCCAAAAGCATCACCAGTGACCCAAAGCTCTGATGCCACAAATGTTTCAAACCCAAGTCAGTCAACATCTCGACAGGCGTATAAAACAGAAATTGTGGGAGGTGTGGTTGTGCACACGCCAGTCCAGCAGGTGACGTATTTGTATGTGTTCTTTATTCATCTATTTAATTTAGGAAAATATGAATATGAATCTGTTGTGTTTTTCTCAGAGCGATAATGAGGACGTCTTCACGAGTGAACTAGGGTCACACGTCACTTTAAGGAGATGTCAGAGTGTGCGTCCAAATGTCATGAGGTCTGGCTACTGTGTCAAGCAAGGCAATGTGGTAAGACCAGTGTCTTGTCATATCAGTTGAGTAAAATATCAGTTTTTGCAGATAATATGCCATGGATGTAGTTGTTACAGGAATAGTTCACCCAAAAATGAAAATGTACTCAACCTCAATCCATCTGAGATGTAGCCTAGATGAGTTTGTTTCTTCATTGGAACATATCTGAATAAACTTAGTATTACCAATGGATCCTCTGCAGTGAATGGGTGCCGTCAGAATGAGAGTCCAAACAGCTGATAAAAAAATCACAATAATCCACAAGTGATCCACACAACCACAGTCCATCAATTAATGTCTTGATAGGTAAAAAATAAAAAATAAAGTGTTTGTTAGTAATCTGTTCAGATGAAGAAACAAAATATTCAACTTGGCCTGAGGATGCGTACATTTTCAGCAAAATTTTATTTTTGGGTGAAACTGTTCCTTTAATTTTGCATATTGTTGGGCCTATGCAGTTCATAGTATTATTACATTATTTCTGTTACAATACAATTTTGTACAATATGTAATTGGATCACCACTTGATGTCCAATGTAAATCTACAGTAGATACTTCTATAAGAATATGTTAAAAGAATTTTGTTAGCACCACAATTAAACTGCATCATTTTTCAGAGGAAAAGCTGGAAGAGGAGGTTTTTTATTCTAGATAACCAAACTGTGAGCTACTATAAATCTGAAATGGTAAGATGCTGGAATGGTAAACTCTTTAAAAGAATGGAAATGATTCATTTATATAATGAACAGATATATAAACCAGTACTCTGTCTCTTTTTAGGATAAGGAACCATTACGTAGTATTCGATTGCAGGATGTGCTGAAAGTTAACGAGTGTCTTGTGAAATCAGGGTGAGAATGCTGCCTTCTTTGTGTGTGTGTGTGTGTGTGTGTGTGTGTGTTTGAAAGAATTTATGATTAGAAGTCATTATGCGCACAAGGCTGCATTTATTTGATTAAAAATACAGTAAAAGAGTAATATTATGAAATATTACTACAATTTAAAATATCAGTATTCTATTTTAATATGTTTTAAAATGTAATTTATTCCTGTGATGCAAAGCTGAATTTTCAGTAGTCATTATTACAGTTTTCAGTGTCATATGATCCTTCAGAAATTATTCTAATATGGTGATTTGGTGCTCTTATATATATATATATATATATATATATATCAG